GTGCCACTTTCTGTCCTCACAGCTTGCCAGCTGGCAGGACGGGTTGTGTTGATGAGCTGAAACAACTGTATGTAGGAACAGACATCAAGCCAAACCCAGGTTCACCTGAAACTCGTGGAACCAGAGGAGAAGCAGGGGAAGCTGAGCTGCAAAAGTGGGATCCGCACTGGGCAGCAAAAGGGCTTGTATGCGTTTGTGTGTGGGACTTGTATAGAGGCTGTCAAGGCCCCCTCCTAGGAATAAAATGCCTTTAGTACTGAAATGCATTATGCAGCTGTTTGCTTAGCCTCCTGGATCACTTCTCATCCTCGCACCTACCTGTTTTGGACTGTCCTTCACTCCTCTCAAGAGTTAGAATAGTATAATAGAATAAAACAATGTACAAGACATGAGTTTTCCATGCATTTGTTACGCTGGTGATTTTTAGGGTGTCAGATCTTGACCAAGAGATTACTTAGTTAATAGTAACAAGTTGTCTTTTCTGGACATATTTCTAAGACCAACTGTTCTTCTGATATCTTCCTTGGGTGGCTCGTCCATCCCTGTAGTTAATACAGGTCTTCATGTATTTATCACTGCTAAAGCTGGAAGAAGGCGTTCTCTTCATCTGCCTGGCTCCTTGCGTAAGGCAGATTGACTGCTACGTGCCAACAAACTTCTGCTTGGAGAAACATATTTTGCAGTAGTAGTAATGTCACTGAAATTACTAGAATAAGATACTGAAAGTGAAATCCTAAATTTATGATCATTATGGGTGATGGAAATGAGCATCAGACACGCAAGACTTCAAATGCACCGTCTGCAAGAATAACTGTCTGAGGGGATGCTGACATCTGCTCCAGGCTCGGTTGTTGTTGTGAACCACAGATTGTCAGACTGTTCTGCCTAAGGACGTTACATTCCTTCAGACCAGACTTTAACTGGACGTCGTTTGTGAGGTTTGACTGTTGACACAGGCTCATGGGGAGAAAAGAGAAAATGAGTCCGAGAGAGAGAACATCTGGGGCTGATGATAGGGTGTTATAGACATTACAAGCCTTTATCTTGAAATAATCAGCCCAGGACTATTCTGCATGAGTCACGGTGTGAAAGCTTCCATCTACCTCTGTTTAGAGAAGGATGAAAAAGTTTCTGCAGACAGCTGTTTCAGCGCTGACACGGTGTGCCACTATTTTTGGAATATTTCAACTGCGTACAGGCAAAGCAGTGTTCTAAGTTTGCATATATCAGGCTCCAAGCCACTGAGTCAGTATCCCTGCCAAACCTTTGGCCAAAGCTTTATTTTGGGTTCACGATCTTCGTATTTGCAACTGCTTCACTGAAGCTGGACTTCTTCCTTCCTTGGCTCTGTGTGAGGCAGAAGTGAAGAGGGAGGGGATATGTGGCCTTCATCAGCCAAATGGCTGAAGCTGTGTGTGGAAGCCAGCAGTTCCTTGGAATTTCACAGTGCAGGGGCAACTCATCCTGCCAGGACTGACTTTGCTTCTTCCCCGCTCCAGGCACTGCCCACAATTCACCTTGTCCTGCAAAGCTGTGCTAAAGGAGAAGGGAATGTGCCATTGTGAACTCCCCAGCTACTCCCCAGGGCAACCCAGATGGAGCCCAGGTGTTAGTCTTGCAGGCTATGGTGCAAACTCAGGGTTGCTCCCAAGGAAAAGGTTAGCCTCATCCAAGGGTTCCCTTCCACATGATGTTACCCGTCTGGTGTTTCAAGGCAATGCCAGAACGTGGTGATGACATTTGCTTTTCTCGCTCACACAAATCACGCCCAACTAAAGGCCTGTCTTTGTGAGAAACGTAGAGGAGTGAATTTGCAACACCCTTGTAATCTTCCCTGGTGAGGGTCTCAGGTGGTGAGTGCAGGGTTGTCTGACTGTGTTTTCAGGGAAGAGTAGTGAGTCCCATGCAAATGCCCTTTAATATGACCGAAGCTTCATACCAGAGGACATGGTGCAAATTATCAGATGGGCTACAAATCCACACTGGCTTATCACATGCTGATTTTCCTGAGAATAACACGCTAAGTGTGTTTGTGCTCCTTTTCTAGACCTAACAACATCCTCTTTTTCTTAATAGCCTCAGGCATGAATGCTTGTTGGCTTATCACTAGGTTGAAGACTTAGAGCTGGGAACAGCTACATGTTGTCTCTTGAGATGCTGCCTTCAGATGTGTGGGAGTCTGTCACCTTTACATGGAAACGCAAGTATGATACTTAGATTCCCTGTGAGGAAACTGCTTAGTGTATTAGAAAGAACAGAAGAGTAAAAGAGAGAGAAGCAACAAAAGCAAACGTATGCGACTACAGCACTTTGTGGCTTTTGCAGTGGAAACAATACCGCAGAAACGGCAGCGGCTGCAAAGGAACGCCCCATTGTCATGGCTGCGTTTGGTCCTCTGCTCCGCTGTGCGTCAGGAGATGGAAAAGTCTGGTGATGCCGGAGGCTGACCGGAGGCCAAACATCCTCAGCCATGGGCTGACAGGCCCAACAGAGGATAGGTCCAGCACTGCTGTACTGGGAGACATCTCCTATGCTGTCGGTGCCCTATTTTCCTAGCTGGCTTGTGTTTAGCCCAGCAGTGTTACTTCCTGTGTAACCGGGTAGGAGAGAGGGTGTCTGCAGTGAGCAGAAGAGTGTGAAGGCATGGTTATCTGCAGGCCTGGCAGACCTTGCCTCGTCAGTGCATGTGGCTCATTCCTTGGGGAGCATCGCCGGTCGGTGCCGGGGGCTGCTCCCTGCTGTAGCTGTCTTCAGGTCGTGCACCCCACACAGCACTGCTGGAGGTACATGCTGGCCTCCAGAGCTCCTCTGTGGCTGTAGGCCAAAAAGCTGTGCTTTCCGGACACGCTTGTTTGCCTTCCGACACCTTCTCCTTATTGCCTTCCCTTGGTGGGAAAGAGAGACAGCAGGGACTTCCAGTACTTCCCTCCCAGTAAGACCCAGCAAATCCCTTCCCGCTTCTGAAAAGGGTATTGAAGCCCAGTCAGGACTGCAGCACAACGGTGTCTTGCTCCTCACGAGAGGGAGGGTAAAGCCTCAAGGATATTGCCCTTCCCTCCCTTCTCATCAGGCAGGAAGGTTGAGGTGACACACGGGATGCTTTCTCCTTGTCCAGCGGGGTGTCATGGTGCAGGAGGCTCCCAACACTGGTTGGAGAAGGGGCTGCTTGGTGGGATGGACCATGCACATGCCAGGATCTCCTGGGGACTCCTTGCTACTGGGGTGTGGTGTGTTCCTTTGCTGGGTCTGCTGTGCTTTCATTACACAAAATCTCAAAGGAAGTTGATTTTGTGCACACCCCCCAAGTACTCAGGAACAGCAAGGCCTGGTGTCACTTTGGTGACGCAAAGCGGACAGGGGACATCAGCTGTTGAGTCCTCCCCACCTCTCTTAAGCACCTCCTCACTGCAAACTCGTTTGTGAGCAGATCTTTTATATCCTTTAGGATTGGGTTCTTGCTCCTGTCTGCCCGCTGAGCGGAGCGTGGGCAGTGGTTTCAGCCTGCCTGAGGGCCTCCCTCCGCTCTGCTTTATGGACCCAGAGAAACGAAAGCTGAGGGGGTTGCGGCTGCTGCCTTTGCCCAGAGCCCGGTGGGTGCTCGGGCTGGAAGCAGATGCCCAAGCGTGCATGTTCCTGCCAGCTTGGCTGGGGAGGGAGATCCCCAGAGCCTCCCGCGGCCGGCACGGTCTGCTTGGCTGGGGGGATGCCTGGGCACGGCATCCCTGCCCTTGCCTTGTTTTTTTCCACAGAAGGTAGGAGTCAGGCATAGAAATTTCATATCTGCTGCTGCTTCCTCTCTCCTTTTGCGCGTGCCTTCCTTGAGCACTCTTTGTAAGGAAACAGAAACAAAATAAGGAAGAAAGCTAGGTTTTCCTGCCATGTGCAGAAGCAGCAGTACCGTGACCTTAGTGCATTTTACCTCAGGTAACTTTTTCTCCTTTTGTGCAAAAAGGGCTAGTTTTTACCGGTGCTAGTTCCAGTTAAAAGATGACAAAGCTGGAGAAAGGGAGGTGTCTTACAAGACCTTCCTGTGCCTTCAAGGAGGAAGAATGATGTGAATGAACAAGAAAGATTTATCTGATATTGTACATCTCCTGTGCCCCAGCTTTTCTTCTGTCTTCTCTCATGGTCTACGTCTGCAATAAAAAGCTGGAAGATTTCAGTGGCCGTGTTAGCGGAGAGGTTGTGCCGGCGATGGTATGAGTCTAAATCCTTACCGCCCCCTCTGTTTCATACTGGAATCGGGAATAAAGTTTTTTTTGCTTCTCATGTGGTTTTGGACCTAGCTCCCATGCCTCTTCCCAGCTCCTTTCCTCACCCTCTCTCCCACACCAACCAGCTTACGGGCTGGTTTGTGGCTAGACCTGAGGCAGCGTTTTCATCCCTTTCCATGCTCATCCCTCTTTCGCAGCTTGCTCAAGTAGCCGACCGTGCCTGCAGGACACCTTCACCTGGCACCAGCCGGCCCCTCATAGATCAAACACTGATCCCCATTGTTTCTAAGGGAAACGTCTCCTTTCCACACGTTGTCCAGCAGCCATCGGCTCCCTGCTCCCTGCTGGGGGTCCTAGGCTTGCTGTTCCCTCGCTGCTGCTGAGGCTATGTAGGAGCAGAAGGATTCCCATCACCCCCCTGCCCTACAATCCACATCCGTCCCACTAGGATGGGGCACGCAGATGGTGGAGCTGAACTGCAGGTGAACACTAGCGAGGGCCAGGGCCCCAGCCGGGTAGGCAGACCTGAGGGATGTTCTTGCACTTGGCCTTTTGCTCGTCACTGCGCGTTGTCCCCGTCCTGATAAAACACCCATGGAGAGGCCTTTCTGCCCGTGGTTTTTGCGCCTGTGCTAGAAACGAGAAGTGCTATGGTGAGAGCTGGGAGGAGGGCACAAGGGCTGCATCGACACACCCCACAACCGCTTGCTCACAGCAGAAAATCCTTTCACCTGCCAGGAGCTATCATTAGACAAGGCGACACTGGATTTTTTTTTGACCCTGGAAATGAACTTTAAGAGGATTTTCCTTGTCAAGTGCTTGCTGCTTTTATTTCCCAGTGTAAAATGTGAGTTTTTCTTACTTTTTTTTTCTCTTTCAGGCTAGCATAGCTAAAATTGCATTTTAAACCATTTACAGCTTGGTGGGTTGTTGCTGATAAGAAACTAGTTCCACTTTCCCATTGAGTGAAGGCCTTTGGGTTATTGTTATTATTATTAGATTTAATTTTCAGCTGGGAGGAGAGCAGGACCTGAGTTTCCTATTCCAGTTATAATAGTATGTAAACAGTTTTGGCTTTAAGTTAATGAGCCTTAATTTGACACGTGTATAATGAGAAATGTCAGCATGCAGCTTTCTCTCTGCCCTCGAGGTAGCTTGTACTACATTAGAGATCCAGTTCACGGTGCATTATCACATGTAATTTCCTTTTCTTATCAAAGATGAGCAAATCTTTTGAAAGTGCAATATATTCTGCCATAAATATTAACAGAAAGAGTGATAGATCTGTGTCTTCTGTGGAGCTGAAGGAGTAGAAGATGTGAAAACAGCAAGCAAAGACATACATCTTTTATATTTTGTGTATTATTGCTCTCATTATTTTTTAAAATATTTATCAGAAAACTTAATTAAGGTGTTAACTCATAGATTAGAGAAGGTTATAAGACATGGAGACAATACAGTCATGCGTAGATGGGTTTTTTTCTCTCTTCATTCCACTACAGACTCTGTGTATGGCTGTTTAATGTTTTTCCTCCAGAACAAAATTAATAGCTAAATAAGGTTTTGGGGTTTTTTTTTGTATGTGATATATAAAACATCTTCCCCAGCAGAAATGACGATTAGTTCCTTGAATGGAAAACTTGTTTCAAAGACTTCTTAGTTCTCTAAAGTTATTATGGGAGCTTTTCCTTTTAACTCTTTTGTCGTGAATGCAGTGAGCTCTGCATTGCCACTTTGGATCTTTCTGCCCCTTGGAGCACATTTTGGTTGGCATTAGCAGAAAGGCTGCTTCATTAGCTAAACAGATTTTTAGTATCTCATGTGTGGGATACTCAGCTTTCCATTAGCGAGACTATGGAGATCAGGTAAACATCCTGAGATGCAACTGGGTGGTCTGTCCATAGAGATGCCTTTGAATTCTCCTTGAAAACTTTGATTTTTGTTTTTGTCTCTTTACTTCCAGGGAGAAAAAAAAAAAGATAGTATCTGTTATGCAAAGAAATCCTATTACTAGGATTACAATCTGTAGTGTCAGCTGTGTGGGGGATAGATGCTTCCAAGACCATTTGGTTGCATGATGGGCTGACCCTGGCTGGAGCCCAGGTGCCCACCAGAGCTGCTCCATCGTTCCTTTCCTCGGCCGGGCAGGGGAGAGAAAGTCTAACAAAAGGCTGGTGGGTGGAGACGAGGGCAGGGAGGGATCATGCAGCAGTGACCGTCAGGGGCAAAACGGGCTCCACTTGAGCAAATTAACTTATCACCAATCAAATCAGAGTGGGAGACAACTAAAACCAGATCCTAAGACACCTTCCCCCACCCCTCCCTTCTTCCCAGGCTCAGCTTTGCTCCTGATTTTTTTACTTCCCCCTGTCCAGCGGCACACTGGGGTTGTGGTCAGTCCCTCACACGCTGTCTCTACTGCTCCTTTC